TCCATGGCCGAGCAGCTGCAGCCATGCCTTACATCACCAAGTGCAATGCAAAGCGTTGGATGCATTGGTGTAAAGCACGCCGCCACTGGACTCTAGAGAAGTGGAGATGTGTTCTCTGGAGTGACAAATTACGCTTTTCGGTCTGGCAATCCAATGGACGTGTCTGGGTTTGGCGGTTGCCAGGAGAACGGTACCTGTCTGACTGCATTGTGCCAAGTGTAAAGTTTGGCCCCTTAGTTCCAGTGAAGGGAACTCCTAAGGCATCAGCATACCAAGACATTTTGGACAATTTCATGCTCCCAACTTTTAGGGAACAGTTTGGGGGTGGCCCCTTCCTTTTCCAACATGACTGCGCACCAGTGCACAAAGCAAGTGAATATAATGTACAGCATGGATACAATGTATAGTTAAATGCATAGAATGTAGTGGTGTACAGTATGATGTACAGCACAGCGAGGAGAGTGGACTATATATAATGTACAGCATGGATATAGTTTATTGTACAATGTATGAAGTGGAGTGTTGTGCAGAGTGGAATAGTGTACAGTATAATATACAGCACAGAAGTGTTGTGGACTATACCATTTTTAATGTACAACGCAGTGTACAGATTGTAGTGGTATGCAGTACAATGTGTACAGAGTGGAGCAGCATGGACTAGATAATGTACAGCATGGATACATTGTATGTTATATACAGTGTATAGAGTGAAGTGTTGTGCAGTGTAGGATATACAGCACAGTGAAGAAAGTAGAGTAGCATGGCCTCCTCAGCATGGAAAGCGCTGCTTACTTCCCCTCATTGAATACTTTTTTCATCAATATGTTGTGCCATTTTGTGATTTTAATCTATTTTATTTTATAAATACTTTCTTGCAAAACCTCTATATAAGGTAATATTTTACAAAAACACCACATTTTACATTTCAGGAACAAAGTTTTAAGTTTGGATTTATTTTTCATTCTAAGCCTTATTTTCTTTTCCAGAATGCACTTTGCAGTCTTGTTTAAGGGTTATTTCTGATTAAACTGAACTTGGCTTGGTACAATATGTCTGGAGAAGATGACATTTAAAATCTGAAAAAAACCTTTCTGCCACAATTTGCCTTCCTGAAATAGCACAATTTAGCTCTGTCTCAGTGTAAACATGGACTTAAGGGCCTGGAAGCCTAATGGCATTGCTCAATATATCATTTTCCATCATACTAGTCTCAAGTGTCATGAACAAAATTTCCTCCTGCTTAAGAATGGAATACATTAGCAGGAGCTATTTCATCTTTTTTTCCTACTCCATTTGAGTGAATACATAATAGCAAGGAAAAAAAAAAGGTTCAGTGAATTCTGGTAATTTAACATAGCCTGTTTGGTGTATAGTGTGTATTTTCCTTTAATACGTAATCATTTTTGGATCTGATGAATACAAGTGTATTTCATAAAAAACTTGTGTTACTTTATGTCATAAGGGGACTGTTTCATGAGAGAGGGGAAGCATAACTTTCTTTATTATTAAATTTATTCATAGGGGTCATAGACTTTACAGAGCCAGATGGCCAGCCATTCAGTTTATTTTTTCAACTATTCCAAATATAAATGAATATATCGGTGACCGGGATTGCAACCAGTTGTGTATGAATTTGCATATAAACTGATCAGTATAAATGGGAAGTTTTCATCTAACATGATACCTACTGCTCTTTCTCAGATATTCCATGAGGTATTTACAAAGGCATATGAAGAAATATGTCCTAAGGATTCAAACATCCTTAAGTACATGGGTTTGGTCAATAAATGCATTCTACAAAATATTCAAATTTGGCACTTAAGACATCAATGCTATATGCTTTGTTTAAAGTGTAATATTCAAGCTGGTTGGCTAATACTCCAGTCCCTGCCACCTGTTTCCTTCTCCATTCCAGCGATAGAATGTACCTCAGTGTCCTCATGTCCTATACACTGTACTGATTTTTTTATTTTCATCCCTAGATTAAAACAAGCACTTAACCCTTTCAGTGCAGGGGTATCCCCACTACAAGTATTAATAATAATTACGCCCAAAGTTTTTCTGTAAGGAAGTTGCTAATGCTTGTGCATAAATATGCCATAAAGATTTTAAAATAAACAAAAACAATAGCTTATGCTTTGAATGTTTTATGTTTTGAAAATGATCAAATTAAAGAACTATGAGGTGAGTTATTTCCACTCATCCTCATAGTTAGAGCCGACCTGTGACAAGGAAGCTGTCACAGGTTGGCTCTATCAATCGGGAAGTGAGCAGAAACATGCCGCCGATCCGCTCACTTCCCAATCGTCTCCCTGCAGTGCGCAGTGACTGTCCGTCACCGTTCCATGCAGTGATTGCCCCATCCCCTCTCCGATCCTCCAGCGCTGAGTGGAGGAACGGACGGGGGAGGGGGCGGGCACAGCTGGCTTTGCCTCTAAATAGGTAGAGCCAGCTGTCACTCACGCAGCTGGGTGGATCTCGATAGTATTGTCAGGATCCGTCCCGGCTGTTGCACTCTCAGTATATCTCTGGCAATAGCCCGCTATATACTGAGCTTTGGGTCACGGGAGGAGGTTACTATATGTCCTCTCGTGTCCCTAAAGAGAACTATGGGGAAAAACACCTACCCCATAGTTCTCTTTTAAATATGCAAGCTTCCCATTTGACCAGTTAATTCAAATGTCCATGTGTCAAAATGTAAATGTTTTAGGGCCCTACCCAGAATCTCCTAAACCCTTCTTTTAAAACTCATACTATAAGTGTGAATGTTATCTAAGGCCTGGCTCAACCTAGGCATTTTTGAGCAGTAGAAAAAGCTTTAAAACGCCCAACACAAGAAATCCCATGATTTTTAATGGCCCTTGTTCACACCTTAGCAGCAAAACGGCAGACGCAGAAAAAAGTACATAAGCTTATTTTGTCAGTTTGCAGCTCGTTTTTCCTGCATAGACTTCAATGGAGATGCCAGGAAATTTGTAACAGAAGCATGCTGCACATTTTTGGGCACATTCTTGCGCGTTTGTACGCATGCTCGTCTACTGACCACAATGTTTTTTAAGCTGCCAGTCAAAATGCGTGTCTTCAAAAATGTGCAAAACGTGAATAAACGTGCTAAAAAAAAAAACTAGCCGAACCCGCGCGTACAAGCTCGCAAAAAGGATGACACCTTGCTGTCAATGGGACCTAAAGTGTTGCCTTCTTGTAGCAGCTATAGGTGTTTCAGTTGCCTTTTGGTCCACTCTTTGCTTCTGGACCTGAGGATACTAGAAACACTGCATGGAATTAGGACTTGCATCATCAGACCTTTTTATTATATTTCTTTTTGTTGTCAATATCATATACAGCTACTTTCCCTGAAAGGCAAATCTCATATTTAGGTTAGCAAATTAGTAATTGGGCCAAATTTACATTTTGGTTTAGATAACCCAAAAAACGTATTCCTCATCCTCCTAAAGTGAATGAGAAATCTAAACATTGACTACCTAAGGTGATCGGTGTGGTGAACTGATTTTGGAGCAGTTTAAAATGAAACCTTGAAATGCCTAACATCCTACTTGCTCTATACGTCAGTATTTCATCCTAGTATTGCTGAAGTAATCACTCTAAGCACTCTAATTTGTAAGTAATTAAGGGATATGGGAAACCATGCTTGTGATATACACCCTAAACAGGCTCGTTGCTGGTTACCACACACAGAAAGCCTGATGCAAAATAAATCTGTACTAGAAAGTTTGTTTCTCAAACCCACCATTTATATTCATACCTGAATTGTGAAAATGACTGTTGATATACAAAGCAGTAACAGAGAAGGGTTCTAAGTCAATAGCCAGGAAAAAGAATGCAGCAAGTAGAGTCAAACTCCTAAAGCTTGTTCCATTACTCAAAATATATTCTGATAAAATATTCTAAAACCCTCTGGCAGCAGACGGGTTAAAAGCTTTTAACCCGTCTGCTGCCAGAGGGTTTTAGAATATTAAAGCCTTTGGATCAGCAAAGAAGCCAGATGCAGTCGTACATGTCAGGACATTGATTTTAAATAAAAGTCAGCAATGACAGCCCACATATTTATTTCAGTGCCAGATTCAGTTAGAGTTGAAGTCTGGCCCATTTATTAAGAAAAAAAACTAAACTAAATGCTCCAGACACATCTAAATTAGTGGTTCCATGACATGCCAGATTCAAAGTCTTCTTGCTTCTTCCTTGAATAGTGGTAGGGTCCTTCTTAGGGGGCCTAGGTCTCTGCCTGATGACCATTAGAGGTTTCTTTAAAAGGTCATGAAGACCCCAGAAGCAGCATGGTGAACAAATGGCAAGGAGCAGCAACAAGACCAGTTGGCTGCAGCAGTGGGTCACTAGTTATTACTCCTGGAAAAGGCTCCACAGACGGTCGCATGTCCGTGGATTTAGGTGAGTAAAAAGATGCTTGGGAAGGATTTTTTTTTTAAAGTGAATGGGCAGGAGCAGGATTGTTGTTAGTATAAAGGGGGTTACGATTTTGGCCATAGGTGGGCTTTAAAGTAAATTGAATGTAATTTTATTATTTTACCACAGTTTCAATGTATCCTGGGCTGTATAAGAAGTTATCTGCCAATTGCCTGAAATTGCTTTTTAATCATTTTATTTGCTTAATTGTGCTGTAGTATACATAGGACATGTTGTCATACACATCCTTAAATCACTTGTTGGCTAAAAGATACCACACTATTGAATGTTGTTTTGCTGAACTTTGTTGAATAGGTGTAGTCTGTGATCTGCCTTCTGAGTTCAACAATAATTTGAGAATCCACAAGGAAACTGAGGAGAAAAGAAAGCTTCTTTTATATAAAGCACTCAGTCCTGTGAGGCAGGTGCACTGGTTTACAATATCTAATTCCCGGCTGTGAGATTAAGAAGGGTATTTATTCAGTATAACATGTACAAAAGAAACAAAAAGAACCATCAGGCTTCAAGAAAACCTGTGCAGACTAAAATGCAGAATCATCTTACATTTTTTTTTACAGGTGTCCAAGCAGGCAAAGGAGTTCTTGGAATATGTCTTTGAAGAGCCATTGATTGACGTGCAGCAGGAGAACCCACTGCTCTACAGGCATGTTGATGCACTGGCACAAGTTGTGCGCTTGAGACAGCAGTTGAAGTCACTCCGGGCTTATCTTTTTAGTTGCCGAGCAGTGGTGGCTGAAGACCTGCGTAGAAGGTGGGTGTCAACAATGACCTATCACCGAAACTGGAGCTCGCTATAATTGGTGACACTTGTTATTACCACTTCATTTAGAATAGAATAAGTAACTACATGCAGGGAACAAACTAAATCCTGTGTAATTCATTCACTTGATGGAGCAAACAGACAAACGGCAACAAGCAGCAGGCCCAATGCACTGAAAGGATTTACACAAACCTGTCATATGTCCATTTAGGGCAAAGCGGCAGGTTTTATTTAATCTTCACCAATGCCCAGCAGCATATACAGTACTTACCTTTCCTTGGTTCCACTGCTTATTTAAGCACCAGGCGTCAAAGGAAATAGTGCATATAAGTGTGGAGGAGCATGTGATTCATCCATGTGACAGCAGTGGGCCAATTAGCGGTGTCACCTGAGGAGTCCAAACCCTGTATAAGCTGCAACTCCCACCATACACAGCATTTGCCGTTAGTTTTCTTCGACTTAACAGAATAGTCAGGGAGCATAAGAAGTTAAGTATTTGCATCTGTGGAAGTCTGCAATAATTTGAACCTATTGTTTTGGCCTACATTGGCAAAGCACAGATTTACATTTAAGCAAATAATATAACAACTTTTCCCTGGGATAATATATGGGGCAGCCAGGGGCTATCATTGTGGAACTACCCTCCTTAGCACATTTGAAATGTCTTAACCAGTTATATTTCTACACTGCATTGATCGTGATACAGCTTGGTCAAGAATATGATTGGATAGTGAAACAACAGCTGCTTAATGATGAGGTTGTAACTCTGTGCTACCTCATGCAATAAGCTCCATTTGTTTAATTCCCAACCCTATACAATTCAGTGAAGCCTCAAGTGCTTATAGCGCTAGCCCTACCTCTCCCTGTCTGAATGCTGATGCAAAGGAGATTACAAGAGATTAATACAAAGATAGGTTACCATATTTTAAAAAAATCAATTTATGTGTCTTTGCTGAGTAAATGAGAGAAACACAGACAGTTTTTTTTAGATCTGCCTACACTTTTTAAGCTTAGAATTGCAGCATCAAGAAAACATTACATCTTACTCTATGGTACTTGTTTAATTCTTTATTATGTATGACCTGAGCTACAATTTAGTTTCTCATGTGATGTGATGCCAGCCTCAGATCTGATCCTAAGGTGAAGCTAAATTTAGTTTTTAACATTCTTTAGGGAAATCAAATAAAGCAAACTGAATCCGCAGCCTACACTTCCTTGTTTCTGAATGACTTTTAATAGAGAGCCAGCAAGCATGACCAATGGAAGTCCTGCGACAGTCTTATAAACAAAGACCAACCTTCTGTTAACACTGCTGTCTGGGAACTAAAAGGCAACTTGATTAATGATATTGGGACACTTCTGCATTTACTATTGTTATTTTTCTTCTCTCATCCTTATTAGGAAAATTCTGTGGAGCTTTAGACAGATCCTATATTTGTAAAAGATTATTAACAATGTTTCAAAAAAAAATTTTTCTATACCTCCATTTGAATGAATGGGCTTGGTGCAACAAATTCAAGGAGAATACTGTAGAACTGGATATATACATTGAAACAGCTGTAAATTTGATTGTGTTAAAATGAATACAGTAGTACAGTTGCCATATTAGGTTTGGATATCATAACATTTTAGTCCTCCTTTACAGCAGGATTTCCTGCTGTGCACTGAATATTGCTATCTGCTGTTCAGGTTGTTATACACTATTCTGGGCAGACCTGAGTATCTCTTCTAACAATATGATATCATCCATAGAGGTTTTCCAACACATTGACTTTTTATTTACCGCTTATCTTTGTGCTTCACTTATTGCAAATGTCCCTCATGTTTTTTTTCTTAGCATGCCCAACACAACTTTTTATGAATCAAGAACAGCATTCAGAACTCATTCACAAAGCAATAACACCATTAGGGGGGGTTCAACAAAACTGGAGCAAACAGAATCTGGAGCTGTTGCCCATAGTAACCTATTAGCTTCAGTTTGTTCAGTTAAGCTTTGAAAATGAAAGACATAAGCTGATTGGTTGCCATGGGCAACTGCTCTAGATTTTATCTGCTCCAGTTTTGATAAATTCCCCTTATAGCCTTTGCATAGTCATCGGCAGGGTCTACTTGACTATATCTGTCCCTTGTGCAGTACAATTTTCTTTTTGCTCAAAGAGAAACCACATTCTTTGAAAAAAAAAATATATATAAATTATAGAGTTATTGCTACATTGCGAACTGCCATGGTTTTCTGATAATGTCCAAAAAACTTCAATTATGACAGAATCCTCTTGTGTTTGGGTCACTGCCTCTCCTAGATATTGATTGGCTGGCTCTGTCAAAACTTTACATTTTGACAGCACCTATGTGATCCATCACCCACCATAATGGCTGTGATTGGGTGTCAGGAACTGCAGTGGGCCCAAAGCTGAAGGTAGGACAGTTTGTCTATTAGAATAGGTGATAGGGCGAGTGATTGTAAAATATATATGTTAATACTAACTTCAGTTAATCCATGATAGCATGATGAGTCTTTAATTTTTTTAAATTTTGTATTTGAAGCTTGCAGAGAAATGCTGTGGAATGTTGTCTTCCCTGAAATTTACTCTCTTTTGTAACATATACTGTACACATTGTTTCTATGTATAAATAATTTTTATTTTCCTTTAGTCATTTTAAAGCAAGCTTGTCTAGGCATTTAGACAGGTTGCAACTTAAGGATTTATAGGCTATCAATGTTTTTATTACAATATGGTTTCACTGCAATGTAGCTCACATAAAAATGCGCCCACATTGGCAGGTTTCAGCTGTCATTTGTCTAAGGAAAGTTAGAAAATTAAAGGTTTAGAAATTGGATTGTTGCTTCTTTTATCCACTGTATGTTAAAATTCCGTTAAACTAAGTCTATACTCGTCTATAATCATACTTTGAAATATAACATAACTGAGCTTTGTATCCCTAAGATAGAATTTTAAAAAAAGCATGACCAAATTATTCTACATAAATTGCAGGGATATTTTAAAGGTATGAAGACGTAAGACTCCAGACAAATACTGTTGACATCTGGCAACTTGATGGAACTTGATAAATGTTTGCCCCTGTATGGTTTTGATGACATTGCCACTGCTTATATGTAGCTCTGACTATGCTGGCAAAGGTGATACCTCCGCCACAGAATGGTGCTATTAACCATTCCACTTAAGACACAGTGAAGTAAACTTAGCAACAACTATTTTAGGCATGTTATTCAACTGGGACTTAGTGAATTCTCAGAAGTCTAAAAGCTTCACTGTCTTCAATAGTTCTAGCTCTGAAACATTCCAGATGGCCTGGGATCTCTTAGGTAAAAACCCAGGAATCTATATAATGGAATACGTATTTACAATATCTTCTTAGATAGGCATATTGGGGAAAACGTGTTGTAAATGGTTTAAATCACTAGTATTTCAACAAGTAAACTGTGGGTACTACAGTTCATTAGGCTGGGCAGACTGAGCACCCAGAGCACTGGCTCCTCTTGGGATAATGTGTTAAAATTATTGCTTCAAAGGTGCCCCTCAGGTCTAAAGAAAATTAAATCTGATCTATAACAGTGTAACGTGGATGCACATAGGTGTTCCTTAAAGGTTATCAAATATTTAACACTTTGTTTTAAACAACAGGGTAGATATTTGTCAGTGTTTATAATGTTTTTATAATGGTCTCTTTGTTTATATTCGTGTTAATCGAAATTTCGTATGTAATTTCAGAAAATAAAATGTGCCAGTATATTGTTTATTGACACATGTTCCTCAGTAATGCACGGTATCCATAATGATATGGTGCAAGACTGTGATTATATTTTTTTTACAATTGTATTAGTCTTATGCTCAAGTTTAAAAGAGAACTATGGGGTAAGTGTTATTTCCCCATAGTTCTCTTTACGGTCACGAGAAGACATTTACTAACCTCCTCCTGTGACCCAAAGCTCAGTATAACAGTAGAAAGGCATCATGGCACACTCACAAACCAGCATGTAAAACAACTTGTCTCACCACTAAGGATAATAACAGAGGTTTGGATACACGTCTTCTGCAGAGGATGTGAAAGCCGCACTGCCGCGCCAAGGCCGTTGGGATGTGCTTTTAAGGAGGCCGGGCTTCCTCCTGACAAACCTGCACCCAATTTGAAATCTTCTGCCCCCATGTGCTCCAAGATGGAGACTCTCATAGTTTAGAGTTAGGACTGCACTATAAGAGGTGCCTTGGCGCGGCAGTGCGGCTTTCACATCCTCTGCAGAAGACGTGTATCCAAACCTGTTATTATCCTTAGTGGTGAGACAAGTTGTTTTACATGCTGGTTTGTGAGTGTGCCATGATGCCTTTCTACTGTTTTACTGTTCAAAGCCCATTTCGTGTGCACCTTACTGTATAACTGGTGACAAATTGTTGAGTGCGTTTGTCGTTTGTTTTGCTTGACCAAAGCTCAGTATGTCGCGGGCTACGTACAATGTAAGACCCGTGGTGGCTACTTGTTCTGCATTGTGAGTGATGACATCTATAAGGAGAAGGGCACACAATTAGAGAAGAGGAACTTAATTTGAATACTGGAACCAGTTTTAGGTAGCCTGCAGGGCCAGGGCCTTCAGAGCAAGGTAAGTAATTCTCTACACTGCATGCCCCTTAGACTAAATGAGCATTAGATCCTTAATATGCGGAGGAAAAGAAGGTGCAGCCACATGTGATATTTTGGAAGCTAGAGTTCAGCTTTACTATGTAAACTGACAGTGTGCCTCCAGGCATATTTCTGGCCATATTATGTTTGTCCTGATTCTAGGCTACCTGTCTTTTTCCTTTGTTCTCGTCTCCTAGCTTGCTTGGCTACAAACTGTCATCATAGACTTTTTAGGTTCTAAATAATATTATTACTCCAAATTTACGGACAAAAATAAAATGTTGTCAAGAATTTGAATAGGAAGCTTAAAGCATATAATCGGTGCACAAAATCAGATAATACATAGCAAAAGTGCA